AAGAGACATTTTCTTGCACAACAAATTCTTCCTTATACTCTGTTAAGGCTTTTCCAGGGAAGAATATGTATTTAATACCAAAACTGGACTTATGAAAAGAAAGGCTAAAATTATTTCATCTTCTGCTAGGGGAAAGATTTCCCTTATTAATTCAAATTCGATTCAAACTTATTTTGAAATCTATGCATTTACGGTTTTTCTGAAAGATATCCTCACCACTAAGTTTAACAGAATGACACGTGCAAGAGAGAAGGTAAAAGACTAGAGTATACATTATGAAATCAAGCCCCTAGCTAAAAAACTTGCTCCCCGTCTTTTACTTGTCTGGTAAGTTTAATTTTTAAAAACTTGTTTTTGTAATTACTTTATTGTCGGAGTGCTAACGATGGCCAACCCACCTTTAGTAAAAGCTACTTTTGCATGTTAATGAAGTATACTCTTGTCAGAGGAGGACATGTAAGCGAGAAGGTGGCCAAGATCTGTGAATAGCTTGATCTCGCTAAATTTTGTGGTCAACATTGAGAAAGAAACTAATCAATAAAAAATCCCATTCTTTAGACAAGTAGATCAAAAAAGAACATGAATGACGTGTTTAGTATGACATAGTAAACAAAATTGTATGAAGTTATTAATTGGAGGTATTTTTGTCTCGTCAAATGAATCTAATCCACCCCCAAACAAAAATGTCCTAAAGACCGAATAGTTCATAAGAAATTCAATAAATAACTCAATCAACAATGGAGAACAAAACGTCTAATAAACAAAAATAGCAATACGACGGTTTTCTCATAATGATGAAGGTTTAGAGGGTAAAGGTAAGTATAAACAAATGTTTTATTATCACTCACGTCTCCTTTTCTATTCAATTCCTGACTTGAGTGTATGTGGCATCTTACGTTTCTTTAATTATGAGAATTAGTGGTAGTCAAGCTTCAAAATAGATTAACATCTTTTGTCTGTCGGGAACTATACTAATCCAACAATCTAAAAGTTTGAACTAGGGGAAATCAATTAACTTAATTTTATCTTGAACACGCCTTTTTACATAGTCAAGCCTTTGCAATTATCGGTAATGAATGACACTTATATTGGAGCACATGATATTTGTTTTGTACTATATTAAATAACTTCATCTAAAAGACTAAGTTGTTGCGAAAAAACTAATTATTTATATATAATTTATGTTCAACACACTTGGCTTACTAGCACGTTTAGTTCACTTCTCCATCAAAGTTTTGACACACATAATTTTCACAAACATGTGTCCTTAGATTTGAACGCAAAGCATTTAGCTAACCTAAATACTTTATTGAATGAATCTATGATACAAATTTATTTACTTGTATTATATGTTCAACTTAGCTATGCATTTTGAAAAGAAAACAATTAAGTCACGGTTTATGTAGAATGATATATTTAGAATTGATCTCATGTTCTCAGTAAACAAAATAAAAACTCATCACTGTTGAAGTGGTAAGAGAACCTTAGTTATGGTTCTATGAATTTATGAGAATTTTAGAGAATCATAACTAAGGTTCTTTTATCATATCAGTTGTGAGAAATTTTTATCCTACCAATTGGGAGCAGCAAATTAGGATCGATAACTCCTTTAATTCATTGTGAATTGATTCTGGGAGAAGACCGGAAAGTGAAGACAATAATTTGGGGGACTACCCGAGTCAACACGCAAACTCAGAGTCAAATTCGGTTGGTTTGGGAAGTAAATGTGGGACTGGATTTTGATGTATGTATGTATTGAAAATCAAACGAAGTGCCCAATGAACAACAAAGTGTAGTTTTCATGTCTTGTTTCATTTTACTTTTTCATGTTTTTACTAATTAATTTATTTCCTTTCGAAAACTAGTCACACCAATTTTTATTGTTCAAGAAAACGTGGATATTAGTGTTAGACAACCAACTTTTTTTTGTTTTAGATTAGGTACATTATATTTATGTCTTGTTTGGTAGTATTTAGTGGACATTATTAAAACAAGAAAATTAAAACCTTGTTAACTGTTAAATTCAATTCAGTATGTGCCAAAGGCGTTCTTAGTGGTTGAGTGACAATATAAGAGAGGAGAGTAACATGAACAACGAGAGCATTGATAACAGTTTTGTTGCAATTTGATAAATTTTGATAGCATTTCACATAGTATATATGCGCCAACAAGTAGAGGTAACGACAAGGAAGATTTATGCGGAACATATAGTTTAGGTCCGTTTGGCAAGAATTTTGAATAGTTAAACACTACTTCTGATACAAAGAATCTTATTTTAAACATGTTTGAAGAATTTTCTAAAAATATTTTGTCTATTTTTAAGAGCTTTAGAGGAAGCTAACTCTTTTATAAGAAGTAAACGCAAAAATTAAACAGACTCTTAGCAGACTTAATACTCCAATTCAATAGAACACATTAGAATGACACAATGAACACTGTACATTATTGTTACATGACATTGTAATGAGACGAGACAATTATCATCATATATTATGCGATCAAAATTCAGTTGATTGACAAATTTGATGTCAATTATCATTTTCTATCAAGGTAAAAAATAAAGTCAAAAAGTGACTTCTCTTTAACTTTTGTTGATAGAATTGACACAAAAGCCGAAAAGAAGTTGATTGTGAATATCTTTTATAGCGTTGAAGTCGAAAGTTGAAAAAGAAATCACTTGTGAGTCTCTTTTTAGCATTCTACACTTGAAATTATCCTAAAGTATCTTGATGTTAAGCTAGGCGGCAAGAGCATGTTATAAAACAAAATGGCGACGCCTTCCAAGAATTTTGAACCTATCAAAAGTATATTAAACCTCAAAGACAATATTAAACACTAATGTGAATTGGAAAACATGTAGGTAGTGCGATTTGCACTACGAATCTTGAAAACTTGAGAGCTAGCGTGGCAATCGCCCACCTCAATTTCTAATATGTTCTATTGAATTGGGTTGTAAAGATAACCCAAAGAAATACAACTTTACCGTAATAGATTTTTTCCAATTCGAATGTTTATTAGGCCAAAAATAGGTCTCAATTTACGGCTGAAAATCTGAAACATCATTGTGCGGTTGAAAATTGATTTGTGAAAATATTTTGATCATATTTCACTTCTTTTGACTTCTAATTGCATCCAATTGACTCTTAGAATTTTCAAATCTTTATCGTGAGTTTCGGCACAACTTTTGAGTAGTTACACTTTAGTCCCCAAACTTTGAATCTTGTCATTTTCGTTAATTTTCACTTCTTTCTTTCAAATCCACTCCCTTTCATCGAGTTTCACCTAAAAAATGAAATATACAATAAATTAGGCTATAATTTTTCAGAAGAACTATTAAATGTCTATATTTTTAAGTTCAAATAGGTGTATAAAATACATTTATCAAGTGCAAACCAGTTAATAAAAATGACCGCTTGCCCAATACCGAAAATAACAAACATATGCCCAATGATCAATCAGTGTTGACAAAAAAAACTATAAATCTTAAATACTACAATGACCAAACTATTAATACGTTACGATAAACCATATAGCAAATACAAAATGACATCATAGTAGTCTTTCTGATGAGTAGACATTGCAGGACTTTCCTTGCTATGCGAATGGATTTCTTCATTGTTGGAATGAGTGGTGCTAATAACTTGCAATTAAGCCCTAAGGGTACTAGGCAAGAGTAATATTTATCCTTATTTAGTTACCTTTAATTTATGGGTTAATTACAAAACTTTTGATAATTTAGCCCTTTTTTGTTCTCCATTATTTTCAAAATATATTTTTCTTTCTTATTTTGAATCTCACATTTTTCAATAAAATAATATTATATACAAACTCAAATTTTTTTATTTTTATTTTTTAGCCCCTATTTGAGCCACATTAAAATTTTTATTTTTATTCTTCTACTCATTTTCAACCACACATTTTTCAATAAAATAATATTTTCCATCACATCAATAACTTTTCTTTCTTTTTCAACCATACATTCTCTATCAATTTACTATTCTAAAAGCCACATTAAAATTTTTATTTTTATTCTTCTACTCATTTTCAACCACACATTTTTCAATAAAATAATATTTTTCATCACATCAATAACTTTTCATTCTTTTTCAACCATACATTCTCTATCAATTTACTATTCTAAAATACATGCTTCCCAGATAATGTGGCTCAAACACACCCTTAACCATATATTTTCCATCAAATCACTATTACAAAATGTATTTTTGCTTAAAAATGAGCTCAAACAAGATTTTATCAATATTAGAGTATATATTTTATATTTTTAAAAGGGATAATTAAAGGAAACCATGTTTTAAACTTTTCAATATCAAAAATTAGGTCACGACTTAATTTATTCATAAATTCTTAGAAAAACAATTTTTTTTTATATAACCACTCAAAGCATTCACGATAATGACTTTAAATGAGGCGACAAATTTACGATAATTTCAGTTTCCAATATTGATATTGCTTTACTAATTATATGCAAATCCCGGCAGTAATTCATCACAAGCGGCATTCAATTCAAACAAACCTAAATTTATATCCTATCAAATCCAAGAGACCAAGATGGCCACTCCCACAATAAGCAAAAAGCCAATTCTAATTCAGAAAAAAAAGGAAAAGAAGGCAACCAGTATCAGTTGTAAGACGAGTAGGTATTATGTATATTTTTTAGTGGTAATTACATAAATTCAGGTGTTTAAAGATTGACTTTTAAAAATCAGGTCTAAACTTTATTTATTCAAAAAGTAGGTATTATATTAAAACTCTAATCGATAACCTAATTTCTCTCTCTACTCCCTTCCCCTATCTCTCATGCCTTCCCTCATCTTCCCCATTCTTTTCCTTTCTCGCGCTCGCCGTCGTAGACGACCGTCCACTGCCGGAGACCACCTCCCAGAGCACCCGCGCCGCTGCACTTTTCCCCCATAGATTACAATAATTCTGGATTTCCCAGAAGTACAGATCCTAACTCGTTGAGCTTTCAGTTTGATTAGATGTTTGAGAATCAGTCTGTTCTAGAGGCTTTGGAAGTTTATGTGCCTCCTGGGTTGAATGTATACTCCCATGAACCTGATACTATAGATGCAGGCCCTCTTTTTGATTTTTAAGTCTTTTATTTTAAGAATGATGAAAAATGGCCAGTAGAATTGACAATGTTTATGTTAAGAAAAATGGATGGAAATTGATGTTTTTTCAAATAATATATAGGTAGAGTCTGTGTTGAGTCTTTATCTTTTTAGCATCTGGTTTGGTGGTGTTGGTGTTGGTGTTGGTGTTGGAAGTGGGGTGTTGGTTAATTTTTGTTATTTGTGACCTAAAAATTATATAATCTGTTATCGAAAAAAATGTGACCAACTAATTTGGAAATCTGTGACTGTGTGACCTATAAATTTTGAAATCTGTGACCGACGAATTAATTGTGACCTACAAATTTTTTTATATGTGACCATTAAAAAATCTGTGACCAACTAATTTGGAAAACTATGATCGAAAATTAATTTTTAACTAATTAATTAGATATCTATAACCAAATTGCATATAATTGTAATCTTAACAATTGTCGGAATCGGAGCAGTTGCCGAAATTAAGCGACAGCAGAATGGTCACCGGAATAGTCGTCGGAATTAAGCTCGATCGGGGAACAGTCGCTGAAGTGGTCATTGGTCTTCGGAATGTCGCCGGAGCAGTAAGGGAGGTGGAGGTGGAGGTGGAGGTAGGGTGGGGTGGGTTAATTATACTATTTTACAATTAAATAATTAATTAATACCTTATTTTTGCAAGTTTGAAACTTAACACCTAATTTTTGCAATTGTCAAAGTTAATACTTGATTTGTGAACTCTTCCCTATTTTTTATTTTAAATTACCCAATGATTCTGCCATTTGACCTTTATTGTTCGTCGAAAACAATAAAATTTATAATTTCACAATTTTATTAATATGCAGAGTTAGGATTTTTGCAGTTTAGGTTCTTTGCAATACTTAGATTTTTAGAGGACTCTCGATCATAAAATCAATGAGAAATAAGTGGAGACAGTATTCTTATAATATTTGTACTGATTTTCTTAGGGGCTGGACAAAACTTCCGAACCAAATTGAATTGAATCGGACCCGAACCGAACTGAACCGAACCAAGCGGTTCTTCTTAAGTTAAATACCCGAATGGATATCTAAATCGAGAACCGACGGGTTCGGTTCGATTCTCGGTTCTAGACCTAGAACCGAAGAATCAAATCTTCCTAATTTTTTAATTTGTTATTTTAAATAAGTCAAATTATTTTATTTTTTTCTAAATGAATTTGCTAAGTAATTAATTTAGCTTAAACTTAAAATATGATTTTACTATTTTCAATTTTCATTCAAACCCAACTTAATCAAATTGACGTAAATTTTACCCAATTCTCTTATTTTACAATAGTGTCATTTCTGTCGTTCTATTATTGTAAACTCGCTATCTGCCTCTTCTGGTGATTTAAAAGTCAAATATATGAAGAACTCAACAAAAAAACGTGCAAAAGATATCACCATATTAGATTACGTTATTTTGTAAGAGTTAAGATTGAACATGTCATATTTGAATTAATGTTGCGTTGTTGTAAATATAAAAAAATAATTATTGTACGGAATCCGGGAACCGAATAGAACCGAACCTGAACGGTTCCAAAATTAAATTAGGACCTGACGGTTCCACTTACTAAATACCTGAAAATTTCGGTGCGGTTCGGTTCTCTGTCCAGCCCTAGATTTTATGTTCAATGTAATCTATGGGATAGTAGATTTTTGGTGGAGGAGGCACACAATCAGTTTGTCGTTCGACTATTCAAATATGCAATCGACATGTCGGATGTTGTGGGATATGTGTACAGATGAAGGTGGCTCATTAGGGGATGCGAAACTGTTTAGTAATTGTCCATGTTATTCGTTGTGCAAGCAGGAAAAAAGAAGGCAAATGAATGATTTTGTTTTGTCATGTTATTTATTAATTACACTTGATGGTTAGATTGTTGATCACATGTCGATTGATAGGTGGAAGAATCATTTACTGTTTAACAATAAGTATTGCTGATCACATGTCGATTGTTGTTCATTTGCTGTTTAGTACTAAGGATTGTCATTCATGATTGTGTCATGCTTGTGAAATTTTATTTACAGTTATTGATTAATAATTATTCTTCGATGGTAGTCACAAACAAAAACAAACACTTCGATGTACTACACACAGGCTGTCTCGCATATATGAATTTCGAACATGATTTTTTTTCATGATGCAGATGATGAAATAGTGGCCAAGTTAATCTTATATTTAAGAAAAATCTTAATACTTTTTAATTACATATTCCCCATTAAATCATTTGTTGGAATTAAACAGTCCCAAAGATAACCACAAATAGCAAAAACAACACAAAACACAACAATTTTTCGCCCTTAGGCCCGGATGTTCACCACAGAGTGGCTAATCACCCGTTGAGCAATCCACCGTAGTTGTTATTGCTCTAATCCACTAGAAACCAACAAAAGTTTATCAAGTACAGATCAGAGACTCAAAAGAATCACTCGACTCAAACCCTTAGCCCCTAACTCTCGATTTCTCTCATTTTTACAGATTACACAAAGTAACCCAGATTTCCGCTCACCAAAAACAAGAGAATCAAAATCAGAACTGTAATCTATTCTAGACATCACCAAGATAATCTAACCTCAAGATTACAGATGAAAACCTCAAGTTTTCATGAAGAGAGAACAACTACAGAGAGACAATATCAACGAGAGCTAACCCTAGAATGAATCGAATCTCAGTCAAAATGGAAGAGTCTCGAACATGTAGAGTCACCATGCATCCAACGGTTTAACCAAAACCACGTGTCACAATCTCAGCTAGTTTGTTTAATAGAATCAAAGTCGCATAACAGAAACGCGAGAATGCACACATAAAAGGGCCAAACCAGGTCACACTCATTACAGACAAATGGGCTGATAATTGGGGCCTCATCATTGGGCTTCAATTGAAGATGTTAAGCATACATAATAACATCACCATCACGTCTCTAGACCCTAAGTCAGCTGGCCAATTACAAACTTACAGAACATTCATTTTCAAAACCTTCCAGTGAAGTTTCTCTGCTATGCCAATTCCAAACTTGTAGAACTCGTTCATAGACCCCAAGTCAGCTGGTCAATCCATAATTTAAAGCTACCAATACAGACGAGATCCTCACTACAAACCGTCAGTATTCACAATTGTGAGTTTTACTCTTATGATAAGAGTGGATTGTTTTTCTTGATCACTGTATTCTTTAATTTCGGCAACCCAAATTTAGCTACTGTACATAGCCAATTCCTGGAGGATCAGAAAGTCTTGTTACATAAAATGAAAGAAAACTTTAAGTTCGATTTATCCTTGTCAACTAAACTGGTTTCTGGCCAATGCCTTGATGATCAACGGTCATTATTGATTCAATTCAAGAACAGCATCATCTTCGACACGACAATTTCTGTCAAACTGGTGACCTGGAATCAGTCTGAGGATTGCTGCACCTGGAAGGGGATTGCCTGCGATAGTTCAGGGCATGTGATCAGTTTGGAGCTGGATAACGAATTGATTTCTGGTGGAATTGAGAATTCGACTACTCTTCTTGTTTTTCAGTACCTAGAGAGGTTGAATTTGGCTTACAACAGATTCAACAACATTCAGATACCGAAGGGGATTTATAATCTTGCGAATTTGACATACTTGAACTTATCAAATGCAGGATTTACGGGACAGATTCCATTTGAGGTTTCGAGGATGACAAGGTTGGTTACTCTTGATCTCTCAAATCTTTTCCCCGGGAAACAGCCACTGAAACTTGAAAATCCGAATCTGAAAAAGCTTGTTCAGAACCTTAAGGAGCTCCGAGAACTTTATCTTGACGGCGTTAATATTTCAGCTCCAGAGAGTGAATGGTGCAAGGCCTTGTCTTCGTCTTTACCAAATCTAAGCAATTTGAGCCTGTCTAATTGTCTTCTTTCAGGTCCGCTAGATTCTTCCTTGTCGCAGCTTCAAAATCTTTCATTTCTCCGTCTTGACAGGAACAATCTGTCCACAAAAATTCCAGACTCCTTTGAAAATTTCCCGAAATTGACAACTTTGAGCATGAGCTCTTGTTCTCTGCAAGGATTCTTTCCTGACAAAATCTTCCATTTACCCAATTTACAGAATCTGGATTTGTCGAACAATAAGTTGCTCGACGGCAATTTGCCACAATTTCCCGGAGGTGGATCTCTTAGAAATCTCATTCTTGGCTACACAAATTTTTCAGGTTCTTTGCCTGATTCCATTAGTAACCTTGGCCTGTTGTCGTGGATTGATCTGACGAATTGCAGTTTCAGTGGACTACTTCCATCCACGATAACAAATCTCACCGAAGTAGTTTATTTGGACTTCTCCTGGAATAAACTCACTGGTTTACTCCCACATTTCAATATGGCCAAGAAACTTACCCATATAGACCTCTCTTTTAATGGTCTAACCGGATCACTTTCTTCCATGCATTTTGAGGGACTTAATGATCTTGTGTATATAAACTTAGGGTATAATTCACTCAATGGGAGTATCCCCCCTGCTCTGTTTGCGCTCCCGTCACTGCAGAAACTCAAACTGTCTAACAATCAATTTGGTGGCCAAGTCAATGAACCTTTGAGTACGTCCTCATCCCAATTGGATACACTCGATTTGAGTAGTAATCTTCTAGAAGGGCCTATTCCCAATTTTTTCTTTGAGCTTCAAAAACTTAGCGTTCTCTTACTTTCTTCCAACTTCTTTAATGGCACTGTACAGATGGAAAATATCCATAACCTTCAAAACCTCACGACACTCGAGCTTTCTCACAATAGCTTGTCAATCAATGCAAGCAACAGTTCTTCGAGCCCATATCCTTTTCCACATATAAACAGGTTAAGCTTAGCTTCCTGCAATCTACAAAGTTTTCCTGACCTGAGGAACCAATCAAAAATGTGCTTTTTAGACCTTTCAGACAACCAAATTAAGGGGGAAATACCTAATTGGATTTGGGAATCTGGAAGTGGATGTTTATATCATTTAAATCTTTCTCACAATTTCTTGCAAGATCTGCAAAAACCTTACAACATTCCAAGTCTTGCTGTTTTAGACCTTCATAGCAACCAGCTCCAGGGCGATCTGCCAATCCCTCCGCCGTTAGCTATGTACATGGATTACTCGAACAATAATTTCAACCACTTTATTCCAGCTGATATTGGCCACAGTGTTTCATCTGCTGCTTTCTTTTCTCTTTCAAATAATAATATAATTGGAACTATACCTGAATCCATATGCAATGCTAGTTACCTTCTTGTTCTTGATTTGTCGAACAATTCCTTAAGCGGTACAATACTGAAATGTCTACTATCAAGTCAGACTCTTGGCGTACTGAATCTAGGAAGAAACAATCTCAGCGGAACCATTCCTGATGCATTTTCTCCCAGTTGTGGTCTAAGAACTCTAGACCTCAGTAGGAACAGTTTAACAGGGAAGATTCCAGGATCTCTGGCCAATTGCAAATTATTAGAAGTTTTAAGTGTTGGAAACAACAAAGTTGAAGGCATCTTCCCATGCACGTTGAAAAATTCATCCAGCCTGCGTGTGTTGGTTCTGCGATCCAACAGATTCCACGGAGAACTTCAATGTCTTGGGGCCAATAACAGCTGGCCAAATCTTCAAATCATTGACATAGCTTTTAACAATTTCAGTGGGTATCTGTCACCAAGATTCTTCCTAGGGTGGAGAGGAATGATGCTTGACAATGATGTCCAACTCAAGTACAACAACCTGAGATTTAATTTTCTGAATCTGAACAACTTATACTATCAGGACACCGTGACAGTAACCATTAAAGGGTTAGAACTGGAGCTTGTGAAAATTCTAACAGTTTTTACATCCATTGATTTCTCAAGCAATGATTTTCGAGGAGAGATTCCAGATACTGTTGGGGATCTAAGTTCACTTTACATTCTCAACTTATCGCATAATGCTCTCATCGGCCAAATTCCGAAATCCATTAGAAAGCTGAGACAGCTTGGATCGCTAGACCTCTCAAAGAACCAGTTAACTGGAGAGATACCGAAAGAGCTCACAAGTTTGACATTCCTTTCATTCTTGAATCTGTCCTACAATAGGTTGTTTGGTAAGATCCCGACAGGTCCTCAATTTCAAACATTTTCACCAGCCTCCTTTGAAGGAAATATGGGGCTATGCGGGTTTCCATTGAACACAAGTTGTGAGGACAAGCAGCTGTCCAATTTGAAGACTAATGAGATTAATTGGGATTATGTAAGTGCTGCACTGGGATTCAGTGTGGGATTCGGAATGACTGTGTGGTTACTTTGGTTGGTTTTGTGACTTTGTTCTATTCAAAAGCATGTACCATAATTTATATATTGGGTTGTTGGATCGATTATAATTGACGAAGAATAAATTCATAAGGAAAAACAGAGACACCCTTTGAAGTATCTGAGTACTAGAGACATTTATATGTTAATACCACAACTGGACTTGTGAAAAGAAAGGCTAAAATTATTTCATCTTCCGCTAGGGGAAAGATTTCCCTTATTAATTCAAATTCGATTCAAACTTATTTTGAAATCTATGCATTTATGGTTTTTCTGAAAGATATCCTCACCACTCAGTTTAACAGAATGACACGTGCAAGAGAGAAGGTAAAAGACTAGAGTATACATTATGAAATCAAGCCCCTAGCCGTCTTTTACTTGTCTTGTAAGTTTAATTTTCAAAAACTTGTTTTTGTAATCACTTTATTGTCGGAGTGCTAACGATGGCCAACCCACCTTTAGTAAAAGCTCTTTTGCATGTTAATGAAGTATACTCTTGTCAGAGGAGGGCATGTAAGCGAGAAGGTGGTTAAAATCTGTTGATAGTTTGATCTCGCTAAATTTTGTGGTCAACATTGAGAAAGAAACTGATCAATAAAAAATCCCGTTCTTTAGACAAGTAGATCAAAAAAGAACATGAATGACATGTTTAGTATGACATATTAAACAAAATTGTATGACGTTATTAATTGAAGGTATTTTTGTCTCGTCAAATGAATCTAATCCACCCCCAAACAAAAATGTCCTAAAGACCGAATAGTTCATAAGAAATTCAATAAATAACTCAATCAACAATGGAGAACATAACGTCTAATAAACAAAAATAGCAACACGACGGTTTTCTCATAATGATGAAGGTTTAGAGGGTAAAGGTAAGTATAAACGAATGTTTTATTATCACTCACGTCTCCTTTTCTATTCAATTCCTGACTTGAGTGTATGTGGCTTCTTACGTTTCTTTAATTATGAGAATTAGTGGTAGTCAAGCTTCAAAATAGATTAACATATTTTGTCTGTCGGGAACTATACTAACACACCCATCTAAAAGTTTGAACAAGGGGAAATCAATTAACTTAATTTTTTCTTAAACACGCCTTTCTACATAGTCAAGCCTTTGCATCGGTAATGAATGACAGTAATATTCGAGCCCATGATATTTTTTTTGTACTATATTAAATAACTTCATCAATAATTTAAGTTGTTGCGCAAAAACTAATTATTTATATATAATTTATGTTCAACACACTTGGCTTACTAGCACGTTAAATTCATTTCTCCATCAAACTTTTGACTTACTAATTTTCACAAACACGTGTCCGTGAGATTTGAACGCAAAGCATTTAGCTAACCTGAATACTTTATTGAATGAATCTAAGGGTCTGTTTGATTGTAAAAATATAATTTAGGTGGAAAGAAAATGAATTTCAAGGAATTGAATTCCTTAAAATTTGTTTTACTGGGAATTGTCAATTAATTGTGTTTGATTGATATAATTTTTCACTGGAAAAATATTAAAATTTTGGATCTTTTGGTATTCGTTTGACTTTGTTTTTCACTAAAATTATTCATCAAATGGATATAATTTGTTACAATTGGGGGTATAATTTGTTTCCATTGTAAAAAATAAAAATAAAAAATTTTTTAAAAAAAATTGCCTAGAAAAGCTTTTCCTCAAAAATCAAGAAAATATGGAATATCAATTTCATAAAAAATTTAGTCAATCAAACATTGAAAAATGTGGAAATAGATTTTAATTTCCATCTTCCATGGAAAAGAAAGAGCAATCAAACAGGTCATAAGATACAAATTTATTTACTTGCATTATGAATTCAATGTAGCTATGCATTTTGAAAAGAAAACAATAGGTCACGATTTATGTAGAATAATTTCTTTAAAATTGATCTTATATTCCCAGTGAACAGAATAAAAACTTCTTACTGTTATCATGATAAGAGAACTTTAGTTACGATCCTATGAATTTATGACAATTTCATAGAATTATAACTAAGGTTCTTTTATCGTGTCAGTAATGAGAAGTTTTTATCCTATCAATTGGGGCAGCAAGTCAAGATCCATAACTCCTTTAGCCCTTGTTTGACTGGATAATAATTTGATTTGGAATAATGATTGATGGAAGAATGTGTGGTTAAAAAGTAAGGAAAATATTTTGGTTTATGTGTAATATTATTTTATTAATAGAATGTGTGGTTGAAATGAAGAAAGAGAAAAAAAAATGAGAAAGTGAATGAGAAAAAAATGAATGTCAAAAATTCACCGAAAATTGATTCCGGGAGAAGACCCGAAAGTAAAGACGATAATTAGGGGGACTACCACTTTAGAAGCCCGAGTCAACACGCAAACTCAGAGAGTCAAATTCGGTTGGTTTGGGAAGTAAATGTGGGACTGGATTTTGATGTCGTATGTACTGAAAATCAAACGAAGTGCCCAATGAACAACAAAGTGTAGTTTTCATGTCTTGTTTGATTTTACTTTTTCATTTTTTTTACCAATTAATTTATTTCCTTTCGAAAACTAGTCAAACCAATTTTTATTGTTTAAGAAAAACGTATATTAGTGTTAGACAACCAACCTTTTTTGTGTTAGATTAGGTACATTAAATTTATGTCTTGTTTGGTAGTATTTAGTGGACATTATTTAAAAAAGAAAATTAAAACCTTGTTAACTGTTAAATTCAATTCAATATGTGCCAAACGTGTTCTTAGTGGTTGACTGACGATATAAGAGAGGAGAGTAACATGGACAACGATTGCACTTTGATAAACTTTGTTCGCACTTCTCATAATATATATGTGCCAACAAGTAGAGGTAACGACAAGGAAGATTTATGCTGACAATATAGCTTAGGTCCGTTTGATAAGAGTTTTGAAAAGTTAAACATTACTTCTGATACCAAGAAGCTTCTTTTAAATATGTTTGAATAATTTTCTGAAAATATTTTGTCTATTTTTAAGAGATTTGAGAAAGCTAACTCTTTTATAAGAAGTAAACGCAAAAATTAAACGGACTCTTAGTAGACTTCAAGTCTTCAATACTCCAATTCAATAGAACATATTGGAAGACAAGGTAGTCCACTACAATTATTATAGTTTTTTAAATTTTCTAATTCGCGTAGAATTCAGCCACGAGATAAAAAAAAGTGGTGTAGTCAATTTTAAATTATCAAGCCCATGTTTGGCTGGTCATCACTTGGGAAAAATAATATTTTAAGTAGTGTTTTTTTTTTTAAATGTATAGTTAAAAATTAGAGAAATTTTTTGAATTTACATGCAAGATATTTTATTGTACGAATATGTAATTGAAAATAAATATTAAAAAAAATTTGAAAATAATGACCCTCAAAGGCTCAAACAGGGTTAAAATATAAAGAATCGTGTTACAAACACTCCAAAAGAATTTTCATGTCTTATTTTTTGATAATGGGAGAAAAAAAAATATATCAAGAATTGAAACATATTATTTGGTAACAATTCAAGGAGAACATAAATTACAAACAAACTTTTAACCAAGATATGAACAAAATTTGTGTATTTGTGTGTGTGTGAACTTAGAAAGTGCATGGAAAAATATCTCAAACTATTGAAACATTTGTAGGAGGGTTAAAGGAAACAAGAAGTCTTTCTAAAATACATTGAAAATATTAATTGTAATTAAATTTCTTAAATAAGTACTAAACATACCTTAATTACTATTACAAATTAGGATTCTTGCAACTAATCATAGTTTATAATGACGACAAGACGGCTGACCGAGTCTAAAATGTTGAACTAACAAATCCTTTGACTTGCTTACCCATATTTTTCAATTTCTTTAGTACCCATACGATTTTTCTATTTATTTTTATTTTTTTGGTCATTTATTTCAATTTCTTTAGTACCCATACGATTTCTCGTTTTATTTTTATTTTTTTGGTCATTTTCTATTACTATGAAATATGTGTATCTTCTTTTTTTAATTTCTTTATCTATTTGTTCAAACTGAACAACTCGAAGGGATTGTTTGACAAAACTTCTAATAAAAATTTAGCAGATCTTGATATTAATTAAAGACCCGTTTGAATCTCATTATTGTAGAATGAGAATGAAAAAAATAACCGTTATTGGGCTCCACACAAGAAATATAAATTCAAAATTGATAGTTTGATGTGATGGATAAGGGTCATGTTTTTCATCTTTATGGATGAAAAATGATAAACAAACGGGGTCTAAATGTGTTGTTGAAAAGTTGATAAATATTATAGATCCAGTAAATATGAAGTTTGAACTTCATGAAACATGCACTAAACATAAAAAATGGTGGACATGTCTGTTTTTTTTCAAATTGAGGATGATTTTCATAAACCTCAAGGATGGAAACATACCAAACATTACCGTGTTTTTTTTCCAAGGTCAAGCGAGCATTTTGTGTCAATGTCAAATTTGGGCAATTCACGTTGCCCTACAAAGACTAAAACGAAATAATAGAATAGCCATTGAAAAATGTGTACTTAGCATAATTGAAGAGACCTCTAATGTGGAACCTCTCTCCTTGAATAAACAAACAATAGTAGTACACAACTAGTGATCGAGAAATTTAAAGTCGACAATAAGTTGGAAATTTTCCAGAAGTTGGAAATTATTTTTCATTTTTCACCTTTTAGGCTGTTTGATAAGAAAAATTTTCTAGGCAATTTGTTTTCCAACTTATGCCGATTTTCCACATTTTCCTTAAATTGGTTTTTCCATGGGTGTGGTGGATTTTGGTTTTCTAGGCAATTATTATTATTATTTTTTGGCAATTGAAACTAATTTTATTTCCAATTGTAACAAATTATATCCCTTTAATGGATAATTTACATGGAAAGCAAAGCCGAACGAACACCAAAAGATCCAAAATTTCAATATTTTCAGATAAAAAATTATAACAATCAAACACAATTAATTGACAATTTCCTTAAATTCATTTTCTTTTCACCCAAATTCCATTCTAGCAATCAAATGGACCCTTAGTTTTAATCACATATTCAAAAATTATTAAAAGTCTGGATTTTAGCAAAACCAATCAGAGGCTAAGAACACGATAATCCCAACAATATATAATAAAAAAATTTAATGGTCAATGGGTTACGTGAAAGCGAATCAATGGAGAAGAGTCAACCCAATTACCAGTACTTACCTAAACAGCTAAGCTATTAAATATCTGTACATATTCAAAGATAGAGAGAGTTAAGTCAGGATTTGTCGTGTAAATTTAAATATCGTAGGTTCCAAAGTCATCACATGAATAAAATAAAGCGGGGCCGACATTAAACGCGTAGAAGACAATCTGTACAAGGCGTTTAATAAGCTGCAACATGGAGTTCCCAGTTTTCACTTTGAATTTTCTCCTCTCTCTCTCACACATATCAAACCTTATTGTCCTTATTGTTGATGGGCGTTCTTGACAACAAATGAGCAATCTATCGTTTTCATGGATTTTCTTGATTTCCCTTTTCCAAATCTTATCAGGCACAAATACTGTATTGGTTTTTGGTCGATGTCTTGATGATCAACGGTCATTATTGAATCAATTCAAGAGCAGCATCATCTTCAACAATACAATTTCTGTCAAACTGGTGACCTGGAATCAGTCTGAGGATTGTTGCACCTGGAAGGGGATTAAATGTGATGGTTCAGGGCATGTGATCAGTTTGGAACTGGATAACGAATCGATTTCTCGTGGAATTGAGAATTCGACTAGTCTTCTTGGTTTTCAGTACCTAGAGAGGTTGAATTTGGCTTACAACAGATTCGACAACAGTCAGATACCAAAGGGGATTTATAATCTTGCGAATTTGGCATACTTGAACTTATCAAATGCAGGTTTTTTCGGACAGATTCCATTTGAGGTTTCGAGGATGACAAGGTTGGTTACTCTTGATCTCTCAAATCTTTTGCCCGTGATACAGCCACTGAAACTTGAAAATCCGAATCTGAGAACGCTTGTTCAGAACCTTAAAGATCTCCGAGAACTTTATCTTGATGGTGTTAAAATTTCAGCTCCAGGGAGTGAATGGTGCAAGGCCCTGTCTTCGTCTTTACCAAATCTAAGCAGTTTGAGCCTTTCTAATTGTCTTCTTTCAGGTCCGCTAGATTCTTCCTTGTCACAGCTTCAAAATCTTTCATTTCTCCGTCTTGACAAGAATAATCTGTCCACAAAAATTCCAGACTACTTCGCAAATTTCTTGAAATTGACAACTTTGAGCATGAGCTCTTGTTCTCTGCAAGGATTCTTTCCCGACAAAATCTTCCAGTTACCCACTTTACAGAATTTGGAATTGTCGAATAATAAGTTGCTCCATGGCAATTTGCCACAATTCCCCAGGGGTGGATCTCTTAGAAAAATCATTCTTAGCTACACTAACTTTTCAGGGTCATTGCCTGATTCCATTGGTAACCTTGGCATGTTGTCGTGGATTGATTTGACGAATTGCAATTTCAGTGGACTACTTCCATCCACGATAACAAATCTCACTGAAGTAGTTTATTTGGACTTCTCGTGGAATAATCTCACTGGTTTACTCCCACCTTTCAATATGTCCAAGAAACTTACCCATATAGACCTCTCTCGTAATGGTCTAATTGGTTCAGTTTCTTCCATGCATTTTGAGGGACTTAACGATCTTGTGTATGTGGACTTAGGGCATAATTCACTCAATGGAAGCATCCCCCCTGCTCTGTTTGTGCTCCCGTCACTGCAGAAACTCAAACTGTCTAACAATCAATTTGGTGGCCAAGTCATTGAACCTTTGAGTACATCCTCGTCCCAATTGGATACACTCGATTTGAGTAGTAATCTTCTAGAAGGGCCTATTCCCGATTTTTTCTTTGAACTTCGAAATCTTAGCGTTCTCTTACTTTCTTCCAACTTCTTTAACGGCACTGTACAGATAAAAAAAATCCATAACCTTCAAAACCTCACGACACTTGAGCTTTCTCACAACCGCTTGTCAATCGATGCAAGCAACAGTTCTTCGAGCCCATATCCTTTTCCACAGATAAACAGATTAAGCTTAGCTTCCTGCAATCTACAAAGTTTTCCTGACCTAAGGAACCAATCAAAAATGTCCTTTTTAGACCTTTCAGACAACCAAATTAAGGGGGAAATACCTAATTGGATTTGGGAAGCTGGAAATGGAACTCTTAGTCATTTAAATCTTTCTTACAATTTCTTTCAAGATCTGCAAAAACCTTACAACATTTCATCAAGTCTTACTGTTTTAGATCTTCATAGCAACCAGCTCCAGGGTGATCTGCCAATCCCTCCATCATCAGCTATCTATATAGATTACTCAAGCAATAATTTCAACCACTCTATCCCAGATCATATTGGAAACAATGTTTCGTTTGCTTCTTTCATTTCTCTTTCAAATAATAATCTAATTGGAGCTATACCTGAATCCATATGCAGTGCTAGTTACCTTCTAGTTCTAGATTTGTCGAACAATTCCTTGAGCGGTACAATCCCGAAATGTCTACTATCAAGTCAGACTCTTGGCGTGCTGAATCTAGGAAGAAACGATCTTAGCGGAATAATTCCTGATGCATTTTCTCCCAGTTGTGGTCTAAGAACTCTAGACCTCAGTAGGAACAGTTTAACGGGGAAGATTCCAGGATCTCTGGCCAATTGCAAATTGTTAGAAGTGGTAAGTGCTGGAAACAACAAAATTGAAGACATCTTCCCATACATGTTGAGAAACTCAACCATCTTGCGTGTGTTAGTTCTGCGATCCAACAGATTCCACGGAGACCTTCAATGTCCTGGGGTCAATAACAGCTGGCCAAATCTTCAAATCATTGATATAGCTTTTAACAATTTCAGTGGATATCTCTCCCCGGGATGCTTCTTAAGTTTGAGAGGAATGGAGCTTGACAATGATTCCCAATTTGATCACCACCACCTGAAATTTAATTTTCTGAATCTGAACAACTTTTACTATCAGGATACCGTGACAGTAACCATTAAAGGGTTAGAACTGGAGCTTGTGAAAATTCTGACAATTTTTACATCCATTGATTTCTCATGCAATAATTTCAAAGGGGAAATACCAGAAACTGTTGGGAATCTAAGTTCTCTTTACATTCTGAACTTATCACATAATGCTCTCACGGGACATATCCCAAAATCAATTGGTAATTTGGCACAGCTTGGATCGCTAGACCTCTCAATGAATCAGCTAACTGGAGAGATACCAGAAGAGCTCACAAGTCTAACCTTCCTTTCATTCTTGAATCTGTCCTACAATAGGTTGTTTGGTAAGATCCCGACAGGTCCTCAATTGCAAACATTTTCACCAGCCTTCTATGAAGGAAATATGGGTTTATGCGGGTTTCCATTGCCCACAAGCTGCGAAGAAAGCACATCTGCACCAAAGTCAGGGCCTATCTCTAAAAGTTTAGATTTTGATTGGCAGTTCATATTCACAGGCTTGGGATTCGGGTTTGGAGCAGCACTCGTCATTGCACCTCTTGCATTTGTCAAGAAATGGAGGCAACAATGCAACGAGCATCTGGAAAAACTTATAAAGCTGATTTTTCCAAGGTATGGATTCAGTTATGTTAGGTATGATGGTAAGGCTGAGGCTTCATCCAAAATTGTAGATGAGACAACCGAGGATGAGGAGGACAATGAGGACGAGGACAAGGATGAAATAGAAGATGACACATTCTGTGGTAGGTATTGTGTGTTTTGCACAAAAGTTGACATTGAAAGAAAAAAAGCCGTGCACAATCCAAAATGCGCATGCCATTATTCACCTCCCACGTTCAATTCTTCACCTACATCATTTTCTTCTTCTTTGTTAGTCTCATATCGCCAAACTGTTTTGGGCCCATCTTGATTTTTTGTATAGATACACAGGTAAACATTAAAGTGAAGAGTGGTTGATTAAAAAAAAAAAAATTTGTGTTCCGGATGTTAACTTCATTCTTGTTGAAATGTACATATTCTTTCAACAAACTGCGTGGTTAATATTGCTTATATTGGTTTAGGAATTTTATCAAACACGTGAAACTCGAATGGACAAAACAAATAATCACTCTATGGTTATTGGTTACAAACCAGATAAATTAAACCACTAGTTCAATTATCAATAAATTTGACCAAGAAATCGAGTTTATACAAATAATTACCACCCCAAATGACTGAAGAACAAAGCGAAAACAAAAATGAGGAAATACCTGCAAATGGCCTAAAGAAAAGGCCATATTTCATATACGGCCTTTGACCGGTAAATATATAAAAGCAAAAAAAAAAAAAGGAAAAAACTTAAAAGTATAACTTTAGACAAGTTAAAGTCAAAAATACACTCATTTTCTCTTCACAAGAAAACTGACAGTCCCATTTTTTAATTATTAATCCGACCCTTCTATTAACAAAAATGGTTTGTTAATAGGCCAAATTACAGACCAAATTTGGCCTGTTAACAGACCATTTGCATTTGGTCTGTTAACTGACCAAAATATTATTTTTTTTACGTGTTATCAATTTTTTTTTCATTTTAGCCCCTATTTGATCCACATTATTTTTTTATTTTTATTCTTCCACTCATTTTCAACTACACATTTTTCAATAAAATAATATTTTCCATTACATCAATAACTTTTCCTTATTTTTCAACCACATATTCCCCATCACATCACTTCAAAAAAATGTATTCTTCCATTTTAATGTGCACCAAACGAGCTCTTACTACATTAATTAATTTAAAATTCTTTAATTAAATATAATTTGTAAATTAATCTTTCATTTTTCAAAATGCAATTAAATAAATATATATTGTTTACTAAATTTTTTTTAAAAAAATCATTTTATTTTAATTTTTAAATATAAAATGAAATAAATAATTTTAAATTGATAATTACGAAAATAAAATATTATTTTTTAACAAATTAGCAAATTCTTATTTTTTTTCCTTTTAATATTTTAATTAATTTAAAANCGTGTTAGCAAATTCTTATTTTTTTTTACTTTTAATATTTTAATTAATTTAAAATTTTTTAATTAAATTTTATTTGTAAATTAATTTTTAATTTTTTTCAAATATAATTAAATAATATTTATATTCTTTTTGTTTTAATAATTTTCTATTGTTTTAATTTTTTGATATCAAATGAAATAAATAATTTTAAATTGATAGTTACCAAAATGAAATATTCTATACAACTGGTGCCGGTACTCAGAGAGGCAAGATGCTGCACGACGCTTACTTTCATGGATAGGGGATGGTGGTTTTTTTTTTTTTTAGCAAATTCTTTTTTTCCTTT